GCGAGAAATGAAAACCCTCACTTCGAAGTTGGCGTCGGTTGGTGCATCCCGACTGCCTGGCTGGGGTCCTAAGGACGGTGAACACGTTTGGTTGGACACACTTGCTGATATGGCTAGGAGCAGGCCCCACTGGCGTTTGTGTTGTGAGTTCCTTTGTCCATCCCCCTCCTGTTTAGCATCCCCCTCCAATCACGATCTCAATCGTTAGGCATAATACGACTTTATTTACGGCAGCCAGTTGCTAGCTCTCCGGAACGATGTCCGTTCGTTACTGGGGACTCAGCGGGCGTGCCACTGTTTGTCTTTTTTCTTCTCTTGCCTTTTGTATTGCGGCACAATAGTTGAGGTGTTTGCCACTTCCAGCTAACGTGTAATGATGATGATGATGATGATATCCCACAAGCGCACACACTTTCTTATCATGGGTGATTTCAACCTGCCCCGTCTATTTCACTCTGTTCCGTCTACTAACTCCTTTGCATCAGGCCTCATTGATCTTCACACAGCCCCGTTGTACAACCACCCGTATCAGCCGACCAGATTCCGATCCAACAACCAACCATCCCTGCTAGATCTCGTCCTCAGTAACGAAGAACTGATGGTTGAGCACGTTGAGTATGATGCCCCTTTAGGGCTTAGCGACCACTGCGTCCTCCGTTTCGATTTTATATGCTTCGCCGAAAAACTCGTCAGCACGCCAACTTATACCAAACGCTGGACTGATTACGGAAAGTTGAACCTTCTCATTTCCGCTAACAACTGGTCACTCGAGCCCCAATCGAGTGCTGACAGCGTCTGGTCAAGCTTTTGCCTTACCCTACGTGAACTCTGCTCCACTACGACGACGTGCAAAGAAGTTTCCATAGGGAAGAGACGCCCAGCACTCATCGGAAGTCGTACACGGAAATGGATTGCCTCCAGGAACACGGCATGGAGAAACTATTGCTCCCATCCAACGGCCACTCAGTGGGAATATTACCGATCCATCCGCAACCAATGCGTCCATCTTGTACGAGAAGATAAGAGTGAGCATCAGCGTCAGCTTATGCGGAAATTTTCATCCAATCCCAAAGCCTTGTATAGTCACGTCAACAGTCTTCGACAAGTCAAGCACGGTGTCACCGCATTGACGACCCCCACAGGGCTCACGAAATCAGCTAACGAGGCAGCAGAAGTCCTGTGCCAGCAGTACGCATCCACATTCTCCGTTCCATCAATGCACACAACGACGGTACCTTCTTCGGTTTCACTCTCAACTTCCCTGACGACTGTTCATTTCACTCCGGAGAAGGTCATGACGAAACTCAAATCCCTGCGGCTAACGGCCTCTCCTGGCGCTGATGGTTTCCACCCACGGCTCTTGCGAGCGTGTGCTGCAGCTCTAGCTTTACCCCTAGCGGAGCTGTTCACCCACTTCTTCTCGCAAGGCAAAGTTCCCAATGATTGGAAATGTGGGACTATTACACCAATCTACAAAGGCGGTACTCGCAAAGATCCGGCCAATTACCGACCGATAACTCTCCTATCTACGATCTCCAAAGTGATGGAATCGATCGTCGCAGACGCTTTAATGGACTACATGGAGGCCCAGAAACTGCTCTCTGATTGCCAGCACGGTTTCCGGCGTCAACGGTCATGCCTGAGTAACCTGCTACTTGCCAGGGACAGCTGGACGACTGCTGCCGACTCTGGCCTAGAAACGCATGTTATATTCCTGGATTTCGCCAAAGCCTTCGACAAGGTCGACCACAAGATTCTGCTGCGGAAACTGTTGTCTTACGGCGTTTCAGGGGACTTGATGGACTGGATCCGGAACTACCATCAAAACCGTACCTTCCAAGTACGCGTCGACGGAGCGTTGTCTCCCCGCATCCTTGCCACAAGCGGAGTTCCACAGGGGTCTGTTCTCGGACCGCACCTCTTCCTAGCCTTCATTGACGACGTCACACCGCAAGTGGAGTCTTCGCTGCTGCTATACGCGGATGACGCGAAGCTGTGGCGCACAATTAACCTTCCGGACGATGCCCACGCACTTCAGACGGACCTCGACCGTCTACATCAGTGGTCCATAGAAAACAACCTTCCATTTAACGCTTCGAAATGTCGCGTCCTTTCTACCCGCCCTTCCGCTTTTTCTCCTATATATTACCTGGGAGCGTCTATCCTCCAGATCTCTTCAGCCGAAAGAGACTTGGGTATCATTACCCAGACGAGTCTTTCCGTATCCGCTTCCTGCCGAAAAGCAGCTGCTGCTGCTAACCGCATGGTGGGATTGCTGAAACGAGCCTTCGGTCAAATTGACCCCAGCAATTTCCGCCTCCTCCTCAACGCTTTTCTTCGACCCCACTTGGAGTTCGCTATTCAGGCTTGGAGCCCTTGGTTGTTGAAGGACCAACGCATACTCGAAGCCCCACAACGTCGAGCAACCAAACTGGTCCGAGGTCTCAAGCACCTAGATTATCCACAACGACTTCAGTGCCTGGGCCTCTACTCGCTTAAGTACCGACGTCTACGGGGCGACCTGATCCTTGTATTCATGATCTTATCCAACCCTGGACATCCCTGTCGCCACCTACTCACACTGCACCAATCGGGCTCCCACCTACGTGGCCACCCACTGAGGCTCACACATCAGCACAGTCGGCTGAACTGCAGACGACACTACTTCGCTTTGCGAATCTGCCGACCGTGGAATGCTCTGCCTGCCGATTTAGTCTTGGCACCCACTGTGGCGGACTTTAAGACCCGCTTGGACTGTCATCTGGCCGAGTTACACCGCGATATTCCCTAATATAACTACCTTCTACTGAATGGAATTTCTTTCCTTTTTTTCTTCTACCTACTTCCTTTCCAAAGCCATTTCGGAGGGCGTGGTGGGATGTCACGCTTTGAGCCAGCGTGCATTCTGTTTAAATGCCGCATAAGCCCGATGAAGATACGGCTAACACGCGAGTCCAACCCGCTATAAGGTTGCTTGGCCTTTCATTAGATCCGACCCGAACTCTTTTTACCCTATGGGTCATGTAAAGCTCGAGCTTTTATTCCCATTAAATACAATGTTCCAATGTTCGGGACAAAATAGATTTGTAGAGGGCTTTACGGCTGGGTACTAGATTGTTCGAGGAGGATAAGCGTATCCCGAGCGCCTAGTTAATTTGTTAAGGTACTCAATGTAAAACCGAAAACATTGAGAGCTAATCCCAATAGGGAAAGTTGGCCTGGATTTGTCCTGGTTATTTAGTCGAGCTAGATTGCTTGACTTCCACGGGCATTCCATGAAGCTGGACAAACCGCATTTCGACCGCATTAGGGTAGAAACTCAGCTATCGCGTCGTCATCAAGCGTTGGAACTGGCTCCCAGAAATTTATCAGTTAACCTAGGTTTGAACATTAACCGGACGCACTTGGGCGCCGACACAATACTTATCTCCTCATTACCAAATTTCAACCTCATATTAAGAGTTCGGTGTCTGTATGTACCCTCATGAATTGGAATTATCGTTTTTTCAACTGACCGAGTTCCCCTGATACCCCTTGGTTACTCCAGGTAACGGGCACAGCAGGGAGTGATAGCGCAGGAAACGTGCGCTGATTAGGGTGCACTTTAGTCAACAAGTTACTGCCCACCCGAATAACGGGTGATTAGTTTCAATACCATCCAGGCTTCGGAGCATAATATCAACGCCGGCTAAACGATTCGCTCAACACCCAGAAAATTCTACTATTGTCCCAGACCTGCCCGAACTTGAAGTCAAGAGCGAAGTAGCTGGGACGGATTGTTGATGGAGTGAGCCGCTCTGCTTCTCTGATTGCACAAGTCATCGATATGGTTGCTTGCGGAATTTCGACCTCTTGTTTTAAACGATTGTTGGATTTATACTTCTTGAATGTGCAGGGATCTTGCTGTTTCTTACGTAACAGTGACAATCTAACTTGTTAATTGCTGTTACGCAAACACTTGCTATGATTGAGAGGTGATGGAGCTGACAAAGGTCTTTCCTTCTGCTCTCTACATTACAATGATTGTCGTTCTAGATGACTGGTGACACTCGTGCTACATTCCAATATACCGGTGAGAGATTGTCACACCTAAACGATTGTAAACAGACCAATTTCTCGCATTGGGTTGACAAACATAATAGTTATTATTGGTTTTGGAGCTATTTACAAAGGGTCGTTCAGCGTACCATCAAGTCATGGGAAGGTTTGGTCTAATCTTGAAGATTGCACGAAATTAAATGAGTAACTAAGTGGGCTGCGGAGATTGATGCACGGCCCTTGCCTAGTAGGGCAAGGCTTAATGCCTCAAAACTAAGTGTCACAAAAAATGCACACGGACAGTTCGACCCCGCTGCAGTCAACACGATGAGGATCAAGCATGCTACTGGTCAGTAGCGTTCCAACCTGATACGTCAAAGGTTAAAAACACTGCTGAAAATAATCGATTGCAAGAAAACGTTGTTATGAAGGCAACCTTAACAAAGTCAGTCGGTGGCTGAGTGGTCTGCGCGTTCGGTTTGAAACCATAAGTTCACCGGTTCGAATCCGCGTAGGGGTGGGTGTCCTCGCGGTATACTCAGCCCGCGCGCGACGTGATGGTCGTGCGGCAGCGAAGCGCCGTTAGGGCGCAAGCTGACATATTACATTATGTATTATTATACTACCTTAGCGAAAGTTCATGAGGACAGGCGTTTACAAACACTAAAAATCGCAGACAGTTCGTTTCATTGGTCTTTGCACACACTTGAATACAGTGTAAACGGTACTGTTGAGCAATATCTCAGTTATCAGCAAGTTAACAGTAACCACAACTTTCCGATGGAGATTATATTTATGGACTATTTGCGCTCATGTGTGTAAGTTAAAGTACATTTTCCACAATATTGTCGATCAAAGTGACTCGCCATAAACACCCCCGCGCCGCACTTTTCATTCGGACACTCGCGTCGAAGACGTGTAATCTTTCCGTTTGAGTCAACCTACAACGAAATCAAAAACATCTATAATCCCACCTTGTAGAATTTCAATGTCGCCAATTGAACCTTCTTCTTCTTGTGTTTGATTTTTTTGGGAGTAGAATAAACCTTTTTCTTCCGTTTTTTGGCGCCACCAAGTAAATCGCAATTGACGTCCAGACAAGCAAGATCCTCTATGCCGATGTCGAGAAGCGATTCTTCGTCATTAAGTGGAGAGCCATGGTAAGAAACCCGTTGCAAAGCGGAAGGAAATCGTGATATTCCTGAGATCTTTTCCTTTACTAAGCGTATTGATGAACGTGGGTCCAACACCAGCGGCAAGGTCTCACCATCACAAACTCGAGCGAAAATCAGCATCATTGGGAGCGTGGCGGTTGACTGCCGTGAAAATCAGTGAACGAGCAGGCGCGGAATTAGTGGAGTTAAGTTACACGTTTGTGTTCAGGTTTTGAAAATAATTAAACTAATGAATTTTAGGTGACAACACAAACTTACACCCTAAAGTATACACAAGTGTTGTAAAGTAGCTAACTGCGAAAATCTGAACCGATTGGTACCCCTTGTACAATTACATCGCAGATGACTATGAAATAGAGCAAAATGTTTTAAGGGAAATCGTTATATTACTAACCAATACATCATACTTTTTAAATTCATGTTCAAGTGGGACAGGAACCCTAGGAGAATCCCATGGACGTTCCACTGTGGAAGTGTCATTGATCCGGGGTGGAATTCAGCGACTCATTTGGGCTTCTGAGAGTGTGCAATACGCACGCCCGTCCCGCCGCGGTCAACCAATCAATGCCGAGCTGTCCTGCACCAACAGTCATGCTGTGCCGGTCGCGTGAACTGGAAATAAAACAAAACGGAAGGAAGGTTGTAGTTCAAGATCAAGTGAGACTGGAACGATAGAATTATCCCATGCGTGTTGCTTCTTCAGCGGATCGTTGAACCAGGAGTCAGCAGACCTTGAACTACCAGTGGACCTAAAACAGACCGCAGCACCCTCTGTCCAACCAATTAATGCCACCTATCCTCTCCTTGTTAGTCCCTGCTGGACCGGAGACGTGTTGAAACAATTTGTTTTTCCGCTGCAGCTTTTGCCATCATATCAAGCATTGGTTAAAGTTTCTATATTGATCTCAGCCATCGCGGGCAAGCCACCTAGCGAAAGCTTAGAAAAATACCTTCAGACCTTTACCTTAATTTGTTAGATTGGCACCAAAGCTGGCCAGACATCAGAGTAGCTTTTATTACTTCAGTCGAATAAACTTGCAGGTTTTGACCACAACGCTACCCTTTACTGGCCTTGTGCAACATTTATCTTTTACCAGGCTCATATGTCTACCGTGCGTCATGGGCGGTGGTAGTGGACAACCAGATCCCCTTAGCACGCCTTGCTACTTCTGACATCTGAAATGGTTTATCTAAGTTCCTGGCGTACCGGATCAGCATCTACCTGTGGAAGCGCCAACATGATAGCTAGTGTAACATCTAAGCCAATATCACTTGGTCGTTCCCCATCAGTAGCATCTGCAACAGACTTTCAAAATAGGAGAAATGTGCCACAGAAGTCAGAAGTGCTGCTTCGCATGGCGTCTTAACACAAGTTGCACGACCAACTTTCCCTTTATTTGTGCAAAGCTTATCATGCCTGCTTTAATGTGCCTCGTGTAAAATCGAGTATCTATTGTTATGATTATTATCATTTAGCCCTCAAATCTATAATCTTTGTGACATATATATAACGTTTTCGGCCCATGTACAGTTGCAGGCATTTTAATTTTCTTTTCATTGTTTACTTGCTCTTAACTCTAGATTTTTATTTTATTAGTTTCGGAGGATTATAGATGCATTAGCTGTGCGCAAACTAATGAGCCATGTGGTATTTATCTTAGAAATTTGCGGATTATTTTTGCTCATATTAACTAACTGCATCTTCAGCCGGCCAAGTTTCTTCTTCCATCCCTTGCCCATGTAACCCTGGGATTCTATTCGAAACTAACGAGTGGTATAAAACTTCGAGGATTCTACCTCTATATTGATATGTCAGACCAATGTTTTCTGAAAACAGCGCGTCTAGTTCTGGTAAACACGGCTTAACTGCGCTATGTCCTCGGCTTTTGTGCGGGCAGCATATCTGATTGTTAATTTCAGACATTTGAGTTAATAACGTTTACAATTTATCTAGTTAGCTTTAATTATCTCTAGCAAAGCTGCCTTTCGGTTACTACAAATTACACAATATGTAGTGTTACTTGTAAAATATATTAGAACATCTGAATAAGTGCTGTTATTAGGATTAATAAAACCTCCACTATTTTTTCTTTTGGTTCCTCTGTAGTTGCTAGCAGGGCAAACGCGTCAACAATGGCTACGGAAAAAGGCATTATTTACCCGAACTTTTGCAATTATTTGCTTTTATTCTATCCAGCCATGAAGTATTATGATGTCTAACTGTTAATTAGTGCTCTCTACATTTACGCGTTAGAAAGGGTTGTTGCAGTTCAATTAGCGTAGTTCCAGCTTTTAGCGATCGCGGTTGCCGAATACGGAGAAAATAAAATACGCATTGATTTTTTCATAATGTACCAGCTATATGCCTTGCTTCCTAAAGTTTTACTACGTAACTTTTTATTTAGTTGCACAAGTAATCAGTTAAAAACATCTAATTTTCTTTCAGTTATTTTTTCATCTTAGATTTTGCTATGAACACAACACAAAGGTTTTGCCTGTAAACATGCCGAAATTACTGGTTGTAATCAGAACGATTATTATCAGGCAAACCATTTGACACAGCGGCGATCGTGTCAATCATCATCATCATCATCATCATACACGTTAGCTAGAGGTGGGGAACACCTCAGCTACTGCGCCGCAATACAAAGAAAAAAGGAGAGAAAAACAACAACTGGTGAAAGCTGGCCGAGCTACCGATAACGGATGGGCATCGTTCCGGTAAGCTTCCAGCCGGCTGCTGTGCACCAAAAATATTATTATGCGAAATTATATAAGGATAAATAAATAAATAAATAAATATTTTATTCTCGACTATGCGAGGCACGCTCATGGAGGCATGATCAGATATGTACAACGGTACAAACATTATAATGCAACTGGAACAGTAACGCAGAAAATTGTTCATATATCCATGATTGGAACTGTACAATGTTGAAAATGGGAAACAATAAGTTGGCTGTCATGAGATACGGGACCTCAGCTAATAAGAGATTGAGAAACCTGAATGATCCACTGAAAGGTAATGGAAGAGCCCGCACACTAGGAAGGAAAAGGGCAACGTATGGTAGGATGTAAAGCGACAACAGTATATACAGATGTAGAAGTCCCAGTGTAACGATCCTATGTAGAATTGTGACGCTAGTTGACCTGCCAGTGAAAAGTTATGGGCTGTGACTTTATTCGGTGGCGAGTCACATACGCCACGTCGCAGTGTTGTTAAACGGACATTTGTGGCTTTTTGTAGGGAGAACGCTTGCCAGGCGAAAACCCACCACGTCCTGGAACACTGCCACCAATCCATTGAATGGCAAATTGTAACTGGCTATGTTTCTTGTTAAAAGTCTGTTTGCTCGGTTATTCGCAGTCAGCTTGCATCCCATTTTTTCCGCTGGTTGATGCAATAACTGGTTGCCTATTGCGTTCCTGGGTCCTGTCCGAAGGTAGGTCGGGTACTAAACATTCTTATTGAATATAATGTGTTGATCCTTCGCAGAACCACATGAAGTCATCTCTGATTATGTATATTTGCCGGGGAGCGAAGAATTCGTGTCCAGCTACCCTCACTGGACATCGGTGGTTGGGTGTAAATAGTTAGAGTGGAAGTGAGGCCATGGTCCAGGTAAGTACTTGTTGGTTATTTCGTCCCATCCCAGACGAAGGCAGTTCCTCAGTTTAATCCCGAAGCTCTCCGATGTTCACGACCTCAGAGAAAAGGGAGAGAGGAACAAGCCGAGAGAAGACCGAAAAGGAACAGTCGATGTACCTGGCGTTTGATCAAAATCCTACATTAAGACATTTATTTGAGACAACTAGTGTACAAGGTGTAACAGATATTACGCTAAAGATGTTTTTACTTATGCGGAAGGCATGGCCTGATGGGTAGAATACTTTCATTTGCATAGGGATGAAAAGCAGGATTCCGGTAAAATGTTCATGAGGTGTAAGCTGACAATGTTCGAATTCTACCTGAGACTAGAAAGTGGGTGTGTAGTCACGATTGGTTGTAATCGGAAACCCAAGGAGAGTGACGATGTGGCCGTATTTATATATGCTCACGGGATAAGGATTACCTAAGACACCATAACTACAATGTACATAGGTATATGAATATAGGAAGCTGAGCATATTAGAAGCTGGCTAAGATTAAATGGATATCAAAGGAAGATTAAGTGTTGAAGGTAAGACGATTAGAAGATATCGATACTGGAGCGGGTATCAGTGGACAAGGGTGCCTGTTGGGTTAATCATTCGAGGTGCCAATGAATAACAACCGTGTTAAAGGATAGGACAGCAAACCAGCTGAGCTGTGAAAAAACTATACCAGGAGAATAAACAATATACAGAAGGACTGACGCCTAGCAAGCTAAAGAATATTCCCAAAGTTGAATAGAGCATACAGCAAACAGCTGCCGCAGAGCAGAGATAGTGGCTAAAGGAATGGAGGCATCAGTGGCTGATTCAACCATATCATTAAGACTTTTGACCACATGTCAAGTAAACGCGAGTAAGACAGACGACGGATAAGGGCGCGCTAGGAGAGATGAATGGCCAACAATAAAGTTCGAAATAAGGCTTCAGCTACCTGCGGGTCCTACGGTGGCACAGAATAGGTCAACAAACAGCTGAGCTGTGACGCAAACTATCAAAGAGATGAACATGGTAAGAACGGAGCAAGCTCCGGGTATCCGCAAAGTTAAATGGAACCTATGGCGACTAGCTGCTGCTAAGCAGAGATAGTGGCTCAAGAAAAGTATGTATCAGAGGCTGGTGTAGCCATATGATTAAGAAGTTTGACCACTACTGGATACCTACAGTTCCAATGAATAGGTCAACAGACGAGCGCCGAATAAGGAGACAGACTTCAAAGGAAAATGAACGCTGGAGTGTCAAGAAGTTGCATTTTCTAGGCTACATGAGGCCAACAACGACTAGCTACTGCCAAAAAAAACTGCACGAGAGTAAGACGAAAAACGGATAACTTCGCGCTAGGAGAGAGATGAATGGCCAGCCACAGAATTCGGATTAAGGTATCAGTTACTAGTGGATCCTACGGTGGTACAGAATAGGTCAACAAACAACTGAGCTGTGACGCAAACAATCAAAGAGAATGAACATTGTAA